CTATTATACGAGGTAAAATAAAATATGGTTATTTGAGTAAAACATCCTATGGAATAGTTAATAAATTAAATGTAGGAATTTAAAAACCACTTTATAATCAAGATTATATTTCGATAGTTTATTTTATTGGAGATCTTTTCAAGAAGACAGTAATTATTTACAACAATTTTGAGAGGTTATGACTTTAATTTAAAAAAGTCAAATAACTTAGCTACGCATTGCTGAAAAAATCATCAAAATTGGCCTATTGCAAAATACATTGAATTTTAAAATTCATGAAAATTATCAGCCCGTCCATTTTTAACAAACGCCTCAGTGTTTAATAATAAAAATGTGCTGGATTTAAACTCCGTTTTCTAGAATTAGCTAACAATATTGCAGTGCCTGTATGAGACGTATGCTAGAATAGAGATGACATACTTATACATCTACAAATACCTGTCATTTATAGCGCATATCGTCACAGTCCTGTTCTGTCTATCTTTGAACGGTTCCGACAAATTATAAGTTTTTATTTTCATTACATTTAAACATAAAGCATTAAAAGGCCGCATTTTTCAGACTTTCCGCTGAATAATTAAAATCACTAAAAACGTCCACGTATCGATATATTCGTAATTAACAATCTTTCTTATATGAAACGATTGCACCCGTTATATTATCGAAGTGATACTATATTTTCCAATAAACATTTGGATAAAGATATTATGTTGCATTACATTTTAAACATCTATTTCACAAATCATAATTATCAATTTTCAGTGTAAAGATTATCCTATTTTATTTTATATTATTTACTTAAGAAAACTTAATACTTACTTTGTTTTTAGAAGATATCGTATTAACATGATAATAATTTTTTATGTAGTTGTTAGAAACAGAGTTGTTAGATTAACAACTCTGTTTTATTATTTGGGCACTTAGCCTGTTTCTTATGTATGGTCTTCAATTAGAAATAATGTTACCTATCCAGCCTTTATTCAGTTTTATATTTATTAAAAAGACTATTATCAACATTACCAAGAGACAAGGCCCTGGAACGTTGACGTAAACATCTGGTGACGTCAACAACTGAAGTCAATCTCTAAAGCAGATTTGATATTTGGAGTATAAAATATCGATTTGTAAATATTTTTTTCACTCAGCTGATATATTTCGAAGTTTTTCGATTTGACTTTTTCAAAATATATTATCTCACATATTATACAAAATAAGTTCGAAAAAATAAAAAGGGGATTGATTTTCTTTCAAGATGAAGGGAAGATTTTCATATAAAATGGTTCGATTTGGCGTTTTCCTACAAAGTGATTTGATTATGTAGAGTTAAAAGAGAAATATACACATAGGTATCTATTTTTTTTCCATGTATAGTTCATTTCAGCTGATATACTTTTATCAACATCATCATCATCATTCTCTTCATCAACGCTTATTCATCATCATCAACGCTTATTCAACCATTTCCAATTATGGTGTGCCCTTCATCATATGTTTAGGTACACTCTTTGTAGTTGGGCCCATTGTTGGCGGCCCAACATACGGCTACTATATGCGGGCCCAAGTTATCCCTACTAATTTCCTAATATCATGGTCCCATCTCAGGTTCGATCTTTCTCCAGGTCTATTAAATACTCGTGGGCACCTTGCTGTAATTTTTGTGGTTCATCTGTCCGTCTCTCTTGCCAGATGTCCTGCCCATTGCCACTTGAGGGATTTGATTTTGTGGATGACATCCATTATATTACGGTCTTTCTTGGTTATTACCAGCATATTTCGTTCCATTGCATTGAGCGTTGTGTGCCGACCTGCAATTTTCTTATAATGCTCGTTTTAAGAATCCAGGTTTCGCATGCATAGGTCATGACTGGTAGTACACATTGGTCGAATGTTTTGTTCTTTAGATAAAGTGGCATTCTAGATTTGAATTTCTTCCAAGTATTCCATGCTGACTGAATTCTTCGGTTGATTTCTGGTAGAAGAGATCCAGAGCTGTGTATTAGTTGTCCCAAATAACCAGGGTGGCGCACCTCATTCGCCTCGGCTGATTATACGAAAACGCAAAGATGTAGAAACACAATATTTTATGAGTATATGTGGGGAGGTAATGTGCACAATTTAAAATTATTTTGAAATGTACAGGATGTTTCAGAACTAAGATCCATACCAAAGTTATATTTTTTCTTATGGAACACCAAGTATTTTATTTCATTTTTGGATTCTTGGGCCCAAAAAAAGGTATTTATTCTAAGGATTAAATATGTTTAAAATCTTTGGTTTTTGAAATATTTAAAGATATTTAAATTTGCATACTACAATAGAATAGATTATTAACACCCTGTACATTACTTTTCAGAATTAATTCTTGTGCTGAGTTTAAAGGCAGAGAAATAAACTTTACAGAAAAATATTATTCCTTCCTTAAATATATACAGGGGTATCAAAAATTGCTGGTCTATTTTAAATATTTATTTTACATAAAAACTTCGTTATTTCAAATGCAATACTATGTATTTTTTAAACAAGTCGAAGCATATTTAAATGCTCTTTCAAACTATATTAGGGTTTCCTATACCTATCTGGCTCAGATTTTGAATAAAAAGCGGTTTTCAATAAAATTGTAATCAAGATGGCTAGTGCTGTCATGGCAAGTTTCTAGTGACAGTTAGTAGCTATTTTCGAAATCAAAATTAGTTTATGGACTTATTTAAATTTATACCAGTTTACTTTTATTTAATTTACCTACAATAGTTTAATAAATAATATTTATTAAGTATGTGTATATTATTCTACCAAGAAAAACGAAGAAGTAGTTCTTTGAATTATTTTACGATGACTTGTAGATATATGGATTTTTCTATATGTAAATAGCTAATTACGGCAAATTCATTTTATTCACTTCCAAAGACAGGTTTCTAATAGTTTTTTTATAAACCACATTACCAGCTCTGCGAAATAGGACAAGAAGTTTTTCAAAAAAACGCTTATCAGAAAGATTCCTATTTGGATATCTTTGAGCATAAGCCCTTGAGGCCAAGAAGCAATTTTCCTCACAAAATAATATCACTAGTAACATATCTATTCGTTCCGCCAGCAGATACTGCTTTATTTTTCTTGATAAAATAATTAATACTTACTTATTAAACTAATTGTAGGTAAATTTAAGTAAACTGTTATAAATTATAAATAATAATGCCCATAAACTAATGTCGACTTTAAAAATAGTTACTGTCACTAGAAAATTGCCATGGCGACACCAGCCATCTTGATTGCAATTTTATTTAAAAATCGCTTTTTATTCAAAATCTGAGCCAGATAGGTATAGGAAACCCTAATATAGTTTATAAGAGCATTTGAATCTGCTTCGATTTCTTTAAAAAAATACAGGGTGTTGTATTTGAAATAACGAAGTTTTTATATAAAATATATCCTTAAAATAGATCAGCAACTTTTGATAGTCCTGTATAAATTTAAGGAACCAATACCATTTTTCTATAAAGTTTATTTCTCTACCTTTAAACTCAGCACAAGAATTAATTCTGAAAAGTAATGTACAGGTTGTTAATAATTTATTCTATTGTAGCATGCAAATTTAAATATCTTTAAATATCAAAATAAAAACACTAAATCACCACAATACACCAAAACACTTTTACTTTTACACTGGACGCGCGTTTCGCTAACCATGTTAGCATCATCAGCAGATGATTATAAACTCATAAACAGTTTATATATATTATTAGTATTGTGGTGATTTAGTGTTTTTATTTTGCTGTTTAACACCAAAGGTTCCAACCCTCAAATGTAATCTTTAAATATCTCAAAAACTAAAGATTTTAAACATATTTAACCCTTATAATAAATGCCTTTTTTGGGCCCAAGAATCCAAAAATTAAATAAAATACCGGGTGTTCCATAAGAAAAAATATAACTTTGATATGGATCTTAGTTCTGAAACACCCTGTATATTTCAAAATAATTTTAAATTGTGCACATTCTCCCCACATATACTCATAAAATATTTTGTTTCTACATCTTTCCGTTTTCGTATAATCAACCGAGGCGAATGATGTGCGCCACCCTGTATGTATACTTCTACTATTTCCAGTTTTGTGTTATTTATTAGAATGGTTTTTCTTTCCCCTAGTTCGTTATACGTTACTTTAGTTTTTGCTAAATTCGTTTTGAGACCTACTTTATTACTGGCTGTATTTAATTTCTTAATTTTTGTTTGAAGTTCTTATGACTATTGGCTATTAGGACTATGCCATCAGCGAAGCTCAGATAGTTAAAATATTCTCTATTTTTAAGCCTTTGTTGGTCCAGTCTAGTTGACGTAAGATTTCTTCTAGTGTTGCTGTAAACAGCTTTGGAGATATTGTTTCTCCCTGCCATAGTCTTTTGCCAGTTGGGAACTCTACTTGTTTTATATATCATTACATTTGCTTTGGCTTCTTTGTATATATTGTCGAGAGTCTCTATGTAAGGTCTGTCAATACCTGGATTCGCTAGGGCTTCTATTATTGCCTTAGGATATATCGAGTCGAAAGCCTTCCCAAAGTCTATAAGTAGTATAGGCTTATTGCTCTATAATTTCTGATGTCTTCTTTGCTGTCTTTCTTATGAAGTTTACACTTTTATGGTCTTCTTTAAATATCGGTAAATTACTCTTGGTTTCTTGATTGTACATATATCAACAATGTAGATTCATGGCTGATTTGATTAGGGTTCATTGGTTCTTCAAAAAATATATGTAGTATGGGACAACTTATAACGGGGAAGCCAAGAGACCCTAACTTTGAATCAAGAGATACATCAGTTATTCGTATCAACAGGAGAAATTACGCAATCTCCAGGCTCTTGAAAACTTTTTTGTTTCATAGACATTATATTTCTTTAAATAGATATGTCGAGACGAAATAAAAAGTAAGTCAAGAGCACTTTCAATTCAAATTTGTTTAATAATAGCATTATTGATATTAATCCGACACCCCAAAACTTACCTTTCGTTTTTTGAACATCCTGCTTCAAATCCACTTCTGCACCTGTTGGCGTTTGACAGGCTATACGTTCTTCTTTTCTTCTTCTTGAGGCACAGCACGTTGGCCGTCAACATTTTGACGTAATTTTTAATCAGAACGAACCCGATAACTTATTGGATGCACTTAAACCAAGCCATAACAAAAAATGATTAAACTCGCGTTTGTCCGATGACTTGCAAAACAGTTTTCTATGTTAAAACTCGATTTTTATGGTAGAAATAGCACGTCGTTATCCATACGAAGACAGACGCGTGGTCATTTTTCAAAGGCAGTCAAGGCGTACCGCTTTACGCTCGGCATTATCTAATTATTTTCCTTTTTAATTGTCGCTGATTGGTTCGCTTGGCTCATCCATCAATCGATGCGAACGTTACGACGATCATCTGGAATGAAAAGAAACCAAATTAGAATCTTAATTACCTTCTTATTTCTAATAAATATGATTAATGCGTGTTAATGCAATAATAAATGCAAAGTTGATTTTTTGTTTGAAATATCACAACTATACCGGGTGCGTCTCAAAAGTAGCTCGCCCCTATAACTTTTTAATTTTTTCATATTATAGAACTAGATTTGGTATTATATTATATTATGACATAAATTAATCCCAATTTGATTGGCGTATTTAATTGTTTTGGTCACTTCCTGTTTCACTGAAAATGACTACTTTTCATTTTTAAATGGCACCCTCAGTATTTTGTTACTTTATTCGATAGAAAATGACACTCTAAATAGAATGACATATCATATGTCAACTTTTGACATTTTCGAATATGGTTTGTTTGAAATTGCAATATGCGGTTCATAACCACAATTTGACTCGAAATATTAAGTATGTGGTACCAAATTATTCGTAAAAAAATGTTTATTCCAAATATGCTAATGAGCCACCCTCGTTCCATTTGAAAAAATTGAGATATGATTAAAAATACGATTTGGGCATCTTTAAACCGGCCAGGACAAGACACGAAAAACATTAGATGATCAAATCTATTTTTTAGACCTAGACTCCTTGATTAAAAATTCATGTTTTTAACACAGCCATGGCACTCTAGATTAAAATGTAAAATACAATTTTGTTTCAAGCAAAAGTGTCAAATGTTGACATATGATATTGTCATTCTATTCAGAATGACTCTATCGAAATTTAAAAATCAAAAGTTATTGTCATTTCCGGTGAAACAGAAAGTGACCAAAAATAATTAAATACGTCAATCAATCCTATATAATTTATGTCATATACTAACATACCAAATTCTGCTTTTTTACCTAAAAAAACATAAAAAAGTTATACGGGTGAGCCACTTATGAGACGCACCCGGTATACAATATTTAGAAAGTGAAGTTTTTTTTAATGTATCTAAGTTCTATCATATAATACAGTAGAATCTCTATTATATCAAATATATTGTTCTTTTTATTACTTGCACTTATCATTTTATGTATATTTTAGCTGTAATAAAATTTTGTTTTATGATAATATAAACTAAATTATTCGATCTACCATCGTTTAACTCACAGGACAATCCATAAATAACAGAATAATTTGATACTCAAACATGTTGTTATCATCTGTAAAACATTTATTATATAAAACTAGTGTTTTCTGTAAAATACAACTCTTTATACACCATTAAACTATTTGTCAGCCAGAAATTTAGTGTATAACCTATTTTTGTTAAATATTATTTGTTTATAGGCAACTTAAAAAATAGAAACCTTTAAATTAACATTTTAAATACGTAATATTAGTGAAATCGTTTAAGATTTATGGACCGGGTCACACTATCCATTACACAGTGACAGTTGTGCCTGTCATTTTAATTCACAAGTCTAGTTTTCCGTTAAAAAAAATAGTTTATATTAAATTGTGTTATTTTAACAAATACTATTGTATTTGAATCATAGACAAATAAATAAAAAGAGACTGACAAACCTCATGGTAAAGAGTGGGACCGCGTTTCCGTAGCGCAACTCAGAATAACAATTTTGAAATCAATTAGCAGGACCATGGCAGGACGTACGTCTTTATTGGTATCTTTCTTTATTATGTGTGCTTTATGTGAAAAAAAAGAGATAGGTATAAAACGTATCATAAGACATTATCGCGCACATTCTGGCTGGCGGAAAATTTAAATTAGCCATTATTAGTAGTATTCTTTCATTCTGAAACTGAAAATTTTCACTTAAACTGATTTATTCCCTATACCACGTAAAGGGAACGTGGTGTAGGAAATAAATCAGTTCAAGTGAAAATTTGCAGTTTCTCTCAGAACGAAAGAATACTACTATTATAAGGGAAATTATAAAAAAAGCAAAAATTGTACTGTTTTATAAACATATTTATTTATACATAAAAATAAATAAACTTTTTATAATACAATAACAAAAAATATTAGTGTTTAACTGGACGCCATTTTTTTCGATCATACGGTAGTATTTAGTAGTGATGGGAATACCGGTTCCGCACGAGTCGCGTTACAGTAACGACCGTTCCAGAAAAATACCGCGACAAAATACCGGTATTTTGTAATCGAGGTTCCGACTTCCACAATGTCGCGGTCCTCGATTATGCAGTATTTCTGGCATTAGTTATCTACTCCCAACCAGTGTTTTCAGGTTCTTACAATAATTGTACCAGCTGTTACAACCATTCGTGCCATGAACTTAGATAATGAACTTAATATAACGCCTATGGAGAGTGGCGTTTACTTTATAGAAAATGGCCCTATATTTTTTAAAATTTTTGATGCTGAGATATACAAAAATAAAATAAGTTAGTTAAACTATAGTTAGTTGCTTGCGAAATTGATTACCTGTCGCTATAATGCTTTTGTTCATTATGTTGCGGGAAGTAGCATTATATTTTAATTTTTAAAGAAATATCAAGGAAGACGTATTGTCTTTAACGGCTCATATTTATGTGTATTGCACCATAATATATTTAATCAAGAACAAAGTCCAAACCACTGTCAAAAAAATTATTTATTGGTGACCGGTTTCAGCAATTCCAGCCATGATTAGACCTTAAAAATAGATATAAACAATAAAACTTTATAAATGCAAATAACGTTTTTATTTTATTTGCTTTTACGTTTCATCTTTCTAACAACGCTATTTTATACCATGCCTAGTACATACCAAAAATCGCTATTTCGAAAATAACGTAGCGACGGGAGCACCAATGCCAGTAGTAACCGACCAAATCGCGACAGGCGAAAACGAAACCCTAGGAGCGCTCCAGCGACTGTTGGAACGAAGCACGTCGCCGCCGAGGTCGAGCGTCGATAATCAGTTACTGCAGTTACTTCTGTTCGCGACAGGGAACTACATCTCTAGAAGCGCGACGGCTGGAGTGAACACGTCCCGATCGAGATCGGGCGGCGCTACGGACTTACGGACATACCAGTTCCAGACACTAATGTTGGCGACCGACGATATCGCGACGGCTGAAGCTAAACATGTTACTATGCGGTTACTACGGTTCGAGCTAACTTCAAGAGCGATTATAAATAATTTATTTGCAAATTATAAATAATTTATAATTTTTTCGTCATTATGATAGTCGTTTTTCAATAACAGGTTTCTCATTCGTTGTGGAGGGCGACACGACGTTACAAAAAAATACCGCTACAAAATCGCGTTACTTAAATACCGACATATCACTAGTATTTAGAAAAACTTTACATACATAAATAAAGCCATAATTTATTTTACGACGAAGTCCAAATTTTGTCCGGATTTCAGAGCTCACTTGTCTGGAATTCCGAAAAACTTTCATATAGAATACCTATGTAAGTCTGCCACATTACCTAAAAATTTAAATTCAATGCTTTTATTGTAATTGCGTACCTATATATCCAAATATATTAAAATAAAACGCCAATTTTATTCTTACGTATCGTTTTCATATTCTTCCTTTGCTTTTTTCATATCTTCCTTTTATCTCTCTTTATACACTCACCGGCACGAAAAATGGGCACCTTAAAATTTTTATATATTTTAAAATTTTAATTGTGTTCGGGTGGACCGACTTTGATAATCCTTTAAGCAATTTGTAGCTAAATTATTTGACTATTTGTAACTTAAAAATGAAAGTTTCCATATGTCAATTATACGATGGAACACAAAATGTTGTTAAAAATGCAAGAAATCTGAAAATCAGCAAGGCGCATCTTTTCTAGATAGTTTATTTTTTGGTTGATCTCGATTATTTTTTGGTTGGTCGATCTTTTTCGTTGATCTCTTGAAAGTACAGTGTACAGTGATAAAGTAAACTTTCTCGAAACAAGTTCATATGCTAGACATTCAGGAACCTTCGTATGAGAACTTCGAATCAAGACGATCGATTTTTTGTAAGTTTGTCGCTAAGAAACAACCGCGCCGCGCCGGCGCCGTTTGCCAGCTTTTCAAATTTGTAATGTATTGCCACCTTGCACCAAAAACGTACATGTAAGTGAACGGATTGCAAGAAGAAGATTAAACGAAGCAAGTCTTATGACAAGAAAGCCTGCTTCGGGACCGCAACTGACTAGGTCCGTTGACTAGGACCAAAAGCGGAGGTATATGGTTTTAATGTAAAAATTACGAAAAAATGTTAATGTCTTCTTTAAAAGCGAATATTTAAAACAAAAATGAATCTATTGAGATAAATCAAAAAACATACTATCGAGAAAAAACGTACCTAGACGATAAAATAATTTTTAAATTTCTTGCTGTCTCAGCGTATTCCACAGGGTGTTCCAAACTTTCACCAAAGTAACAACATTTTGTTTTCCCTAGTATAATTGACAAATGGAAACTTTCATTTTTAATTTAGGAAGAGATACTAAAAAGTAATAATAATTTAGTGCATATTGCTTAGAAATTAACTAAGATCGGCCAACTAGAACAAAATATATAAAATTTTAAAATACATGAAAATTTTAAGGTGCCCGTTTTTCGTGCCGGTGAGTGTATAATATAATGCAATCTAACAAGTATCGGAAAGTGATATAAAAATGGAATCCTGCATGTGCTGGCAAATAAATGCATATATATTCATAGCTGAGGTCGTTTCGAGTCGCTGAATGTCAAGCCATTTTATTTAAGTTGCGAACCACTGCTGCCAACCTTGGAAATTAATAACATACCCTGCTACTTCTACTTCTGCTGCGAATTCAGCGTTCTGCTAAGCTGAAATTACATCGCAAACCTACAAGTTACGTGCCGGTTTGATTTATACGTGGATATTTTTATGTGCGTAATAAATTTAACTGTGATAGTAAACTATTCTTCGAGGGTCCAGGAAAAGCTCTGTAGCAAAGATATGAAAATATAAAAGGCAGACATTGTTATTGTCGGCTTCAAAAAGAAAAAAACACTATTTTTAAAAGTTTTAAAT